GAGGCATGGAGGCAGGACGAGAGGCTACATTTTCTGGGTGTGCGGGGTGTGTTTGGATGTGTCAAAGAGCACGTTATTAAGTAAAACATCTGAAGACAACGCGAGAAAAGGCTCCTTGAAGCTATGCTTCAGGTTCAGGTGCTGGTGGCCCCCAAGAGGAACACTCATTGAACATCCTCAAATCACCCACATGATGTGCGACATCTCGAACATGTCCCGCACGTTGTTTTTCAAGCAACTGCACCATCTTCAGGGCCCGGAGATTCGGAAAAAGAAAACACAAGCCGCGTTGATTCGCGCGAGCTCGCTGAGTGTGGAGCTGGTTGGTGGTGGCCGTTTGGATCACCTCGGTAGCTGGAGCGGCGACAGCCATTCGCGAAAAGAAACGAACGGAGTCTTGTTGGAAAGAAGCAGGAAGAAGATAATGACAGTGACAGGCATATATAGGTAATTATAAATATAAAATAAGCAGAAAGAAAAAACTATAATGACAGTGACAGTCATGTACAGTATAGGTTATTATCTAGGTGATATGACTGCTGATGTGAATGTTTGAAGTCATCGAAGAAACATCGTTTTCGACAGGCGACTGCTGATGCTTACACCTCCAGTTTCACCTACACGGACTCTCGGAGTCAAGGCGGTTGCCATCGACAACCTCACTGAAGAAGTCTGTCTTCCGCATGAAGAAGTTTCCAGGTCTCAAATCACCACGGAAAGAGAGGAAAAAGACAGACAGTCCACCGTTGATGTCCATCAACTCCTTGCACTACATGGTGAAAACTGCAATGACTGCACTTACAAAGGTGGCCACGACCCCACTGCAGATGTTTCTAGCTCAGTTCGGTGATGGGTCAAAAACTGGAGCTCCCAGTAGCTTGCTAGCTTGCTTGATGTGGGTATAGTCTAGTGATGTTCTAGTCTGTTCATGTCTAGGTGCTTCCGTTAAACCGCCCAGCGAAACCTCCGTCGGTCCGATCGCCCGTCCGGAGCCCCGACCCGGTGGCCCACTTGGTAGCTCTCGATGGGACCCTGGAGCAGCCGTGGTGATGGAGGTGCATTGGGAAACCACAGGCCGGTGGTTTTGGGTATTTTTGGAACCCGCACGGTGAGAGAGGTGCAACTCTTTGCAGGATTGAAGGTGTTGAGCAGGATCATTGATTGATCGTTGCGAAGTAAACCGTTGTTGACTTTGCTGGAGTTGGGTAAAGTATGAATGTCAAGAGGGACTGACTCGGATGGATGGAACGGACGAACATGGTGGTATTCCAGCCATAAAACCGATAAAACCTGGAACTAAACCAACACTCCACGAGTTGGAAAAGCACCAGCAACAAGCATGGCCACACTCCCACTGACTCCCACTCACGTCCCGTCCAGGACGGTCCATGTGCTCCGTGTGGTCCGTGTGGGTCCGCCAAGGTGGGTGGGGTGGTCATCCGTCTCGTCGTCGGAGGGTCGGTGGTTTCCAGCATGGGTCGGTGGCTTCGCGCCGTGAAGCGTTGCATCCAAGGCTAACGAAGCGTCCCCACCGTCCACAGCGAAGAGAAGACACCCAAGGGATTCGCGAAGGCAGACGAGTGCTAAGACCCCAAGACCCATCTGTTTCGGGGTCTGTCCAATGATGTCCAATCTCCATCTCTGAGAAATCGCCCAAGCCGTAGAGCTGGAGGCAGTTTGCTAAGAATGCATCTTGCTTAGCCCAAAACAGACAGGCTGGGGAGACGTTGGAAACCCTCAAGGTCTAAATTCAATGGTGGACTGACGGCGAAGCCTCCGGGAGAGACCTCTGCTGACCCCAGGAAAGTAACTGCCTAGTGTAATCTCTTAGTATGTTATAACTTATTTATAACCTTCCTAGTGGTAATCAAGTAGTATAGCAACTACCTGCCAAAAAATATACCTTCCCTCTTTCAAGTCCATGAATTTACATATGATCCTTTATGAGGCGGTCGACCTCTCAAATGAATGCCCCTTCGCTCGCAAACTCGCTCTTCCAATGGAAAAAGCATTCTTGTAACCGCTATCTCACACTCCTCCGCAGTGACCGTGGGTTGACGTGTTATCCAGGTGCATGAACAGATCAAGGCGTCGTGCTAAGTGAAGCCAGCCATCCCCTTTGGTACGCCTGCGTCTGGCTGCTGGGTAGAGTCAACTTGCAAAAATCGTGGTGGCAAAACCTGTGCAACTGCCATCTGTCCAGCAAAGAGTCAACTTGCAAAAATCGTGGTGGCAAAACCTGTGCAACTGCCATCTGTCCAGCAAAGTATCCCGGCGGGGCGCAGCAATGGGTGGGCTGCAGAAGAGGAAAGCTCAAGCGCTCTGCAAAACTTGAGCATGAAACCAAAAAAGGGAGCAAACGCTGATGGCTTGACCCCACAATACTACACCTGAGTACATGCTGACGTGCGGGATATCGAAGTGTTCGACTTGGACTTCTCACACTTTCAGCCTAGCATGTTCAGCCCAAGACCGCTCTCCAAGAATATCGGCTCATTGAGAAGCGGCCAACTCACTTCTCCCCCCTCTGACGGACTTCACTCGAACGGTTCTCGGCCGAGCGGCGTTGGTGTAAGTATCCTGGAACTCAAACCTTGGATCGACCGTTTCCCGCGGCGTTGCTCGTCAGTCCCACGGTGGCTGACGCGGTGACCCACGAGTTGCTTCGCGGTTACCACGGTGCCATGTGGTTTCAGTTCAACCACCAAACCATAGACCAATCGAAACCCTAGGTCCCCTAAGGATCTGGACCCTCAACAAGGATTTTGAGGATTTATACTCAAACCCCTGTCATAGAGGGTTCGACCCCTGCTATGGAAGGTCCAAGAAGATCCCAAAAGGGTGCTTCCATAGTGGCTTCCTGGTTGAACCAGGATGAAGTGGGACCCACATGACCCACAATGACCCAAATGACCCCGATGGATCTTACATCGGAGCTGAAAACCGGGATGCCCCATGTTCGTGCATGGAGATGTTAAAGGACTTGGGAGGTCATATCCACATGGTTGGCTTTTTGCTAGGGTTGTATTGTGTACTCCAAGAGTCCGTCAGCTGTTGCCCGGGCTTGAAGCACACCCCTTTGCGTGCCTCTGGAGGTGTCCCAGTGTTGATGGGCACTGTGCATCATTCTCCCAAAGCGCATGAACATCTACCGACAAGGCACCGAGAACGCACCGTTGCGGGTACATCAAAAGATAAGGACAGGTTACTCTCCACCGCAAGAGGCACCCCGGTACCGTTCCTCTTTTGCCCAGGCACACGCCAGCTAACTTGTTGGCTTCGTGCCGCTCGATGGCACTAACCTGGCTGATGTCCTGGCGACTGCAAGGTCACGCTCTCGTTAGATCAACGCCTGCCGTTGTGTCAAAACGAACGGGGTTTCGAAGAGTGAGTAGCAACACCAATTCACTACTATACTATAGGCATCTATAGGCCCGTTTCGGCCCACAATAGCGATGTTGAACCTCAGCGATGGCATGGAATCTGCCAAACACAGTGATGCACTAATTACTCAATGGTCAACCAGTTGTGCTGAGTGGCAGGGAGGGAAGGTGGAAGGGGTTTAGAGTCAAGGACAACTTGCATGAGGTCACTAGGAGGTAGAGAAAATGAGCGATGCACTACCATGAAATTTCAACAGCATCAACAGCTCAAACACCGCAAAACGAATCAAATCAATGATACATGGATCGGAACTTCCACGGGAGTATTAAAAGTCTTACCAAAGCCCAGATAATCTTCAGCATTGCACTTTATGCCAGACCATCCATGTATGGAATATTTACCTGAATGTTGGAAAAGATGCCATCGTATACTAGCAACAAAGGGCATCGCTACGAACGGAGAGATCGGACGCCACCCAGCGCACATCGGATGCCATTCCTTGGCCGCTACGCACCGAACCGGGGCGCTCCAGGTTCGCTCCGACGAACGCGCAACTCCAACGACGAACGGGACTCTCGGAGGTCCTTGCCATTCACCTTGATCCGAGCCAGGTCGAGCCTGGATCGCCGTGCGACGTTCCGTGCGTGGGCGGTTGGGGAGGAGGAACATGTTAAAAACGTGATGAAACAAAAGTACATGTACTATATGAAAAATATAAGGTTTAATATAATGTACTCACACCCTTGAACACATTTGCTTTCTCGTTTCAAGTCCAAGGATTTCCTAACTAACCCTTTGGATTTGTTAGGTTTCAACACAAGTAGTGTAACTCACCTTCTGACTCAATTCTTGCATTGCACTACCTTTCCTTGCTGACTGCCATTCTCAGGTAGAACTGTATTCCACTCCAGATATTCCTTCGATTTTCTATCTAAATCTATTTTCCCTTTTGTCATTTCACACTGGCACAAAGCCATCCATCAAACCAATCACCACTTCAATGAGTTTTGCCACTCCATGTTCGGTGTTTGCTGCCTCGTTTGGGTGAAACGCTGTGTTGAACAGCTTTGTGGCTTCTGTACCAGCCGCTCAACATTCCGTTGTGGCAAGTTGCCTCTTCAACTCATTAGTTCCTAGTTTGATATACCTTTATATCATCCCTTTCAAGGAATAGAAAGTAAAATCGCACAATCACAAAACCAAAGTGCAAAGCTTGCCACAACAAAACAGATTGCGCATCTTACAATGGAGAAGACGCGCATGCACGGAGGAAAAGAAAGTCACAATTGATATGTGGAATGAAACCGTCCAATGCTCACAGTCGGGTCAGAAAGAGCCTCACAAAGCAAAATTGTTTCACAATGTGATACATGGAATGAAACCGTCTAATGCTCACAGTCGGGTCAGAAAGAGCCTCACAAACCAAAACTGTTTCAAGAAGCACCATTTAGAAAGAAAAGCATTGCCACACTGCGCACACGTTGCTCACAAACAAGCCAGCCTCTATGGAATGAGGTATCCATAGCAGTCCAACCTGGAATGATTGGTTTACCCCGGCACTTCAACAAGGCGTTTTATCGCCAATTCGCTCAACAAGAACACCAAGAAACCTGCCTCTATGGCACTTGTGGCACAATGTAGCCGTAAGGACTGTCTTCACAAGTGTCACAAAGAGATGCACTCATCTTCTCTTCTTTGCTCCAGTTGCCGTCCTGCGGAGAAGGCATTCAACAAACTAAAAAAGAGCTGACTAAACACGAACTGGTAGGTCATTGAAGCTACTGCAACTAGCAAAAGAGTTGGTGGCACAAACAACGGCTCCTCCTGTTGGCTAAACATGTCAATTTGGAAGGCGTCGCATTGGACTGTGGCTGGATTTTTGGTCTGTATCGCCTCAAAGCAAAACAAGCTTTCAAGAAAACATCTTTTGGTTTTCAGCCCATCCTACTTTGTTTGTCTTCTACTCAACGTTAAATAAGGTACAGCACCGCACATGAGCGCAAACCATGAACTCACAGCACATGTTACAAAGATGGTTGCTCTGCTCAATCTTCGTCATTGCCCATCTCAAAGCTGTTCCAAAACAAAATGAAATAAATTCCGTTTAAGGTCTGCACCCTCTTCAAATAATCCTGTCAACGGAGGGTTTGCAAACAAAAATGCCAGAAAAACAAGAAAACAAAAGCGGAATGGCAATGATATGGCTGGGATGAAAACATGTCAAGTGCACAATGTTTGAAGGCGCAGGGTCAATCTGGAAAGCATTGCTGACAAACTCGAAGCCGCCACTGTCGTCCTGCAAGGTCAACAGCCGAGACATTCAAACTCAACCCTTTCCAACTGTGTGCTACTCGCATCTACTTACCACCAAAGGGCACAGCAAAGGGGCAAGGGCATGGCAGAACATCATACAAAGTCTTTAGTCTAAATCCTATCTATCAACTTGAGGAAGATGTTGGGAAGATATCATTCAACAAATCCTGAGGAATGAACATCCCTGCAATCTTCTCCCTAAAAGTCCTGAACCCAAAAAGGGACATGCCATGACAAGGTATTGTCTTGCATAGTGGACTTACCCTTAATCACATTTTTTGTTTGGGGCATGGCTTTTCGTCAATAAAAGTTCTTCCTACACCTGACAAAAGGGCACAGCAAAGGCACAAGTGCATGGCAGAAAATCATACAAAGTCTTTAGTCTAAATCCTCTCTATCAATTTAGGGAAAATTATTGGAATACATGTTGAACAAATCCTGAGGAATGAACAACCCTGCAATCTTCTCCCAATGGAGGTCCTGAATCCTACCAAGTTCGTAGCATGACATTGTATTATCTTGCATAGCGGGCTTGCCCACACTCAGCATCGCGTGAACACCCTCAGCCTATATTGTGAACAACAAAATATCAAACCAATTCTATCTGTCTTTTTCACTTGCAGAAATTTTGAACTTGGGGTGGGGAGCGTTCAGAAGTGATTGTCCTAAACCGAGAACGAGCGTTTACCAAAGAAAATCTAAACATGAGTTGTGTACCTTTTTGTGTGCAACTGTTGTCAGTCCTTTTGCAGTTGCCTCACCCAAACAGCTTTGGTCTGAGTTGGTGAGGTGGCACCTTGCAGGGCATGAAGATTGACAAGTTGGGTCTACTTTGCAAGGTCTTACTTTGGTATCTTTGGTCAGCTATTGTGTATATCAAGGAGCATTTGCGACAAAGCGGGAATTAAAACAGAAGTTTACCAACAAAAATCTGATCGTCTGCAAGTAGAATACTTTCTCACATTCTCAAAGTGATGTTCTTCCAAACCAGCCCTTCCCTACAGTCCCCGCCTGCAACAGCTGGGACTAAGACTGGTTTGATGCCTGAAATCAGAAATTGCTCGATATCCACTGGCTTCCATCCACCGTCAGGCATCCTCGCCCCTTCCAAATTCTCCTGCACCCAAGCCCCATCCTGCTTGAACTCTTTGAAGGATTCAGTTAAGGCTCTCTGGACTGTGTTCTCTGGCTCCTAGGTGCTTCTCTTGAATGCGTGTAACATCTTGTGCCACCACCTTGTTTTGCGGGACTTTCTCCTGTCGTTCAGCTTTGCAGTTGCATTCAAATGCAGGAGGAGTCTGGATGCCTGCATCTTATTCCACCTGTACTCGCTGACATTGCACTTCTGGTGTGGCGATACACGTGTTCGTGCCCCATTGAGCAAACCAACTTCCTCAGCGACTTCACGCGTCTGCGTGACGACTACCACTTGTCCATGTTTGAAGGCGGCGCGGGCAAGGCTCATCAGCATCTTCCCACCCTCACCGAGTTCCTTGTCAAAGATGTTGTCAAGAACCAATTGCACGCGAAATCCCGCATCGGACAAGATTGGAAAAAAGTTTTCTGCAACAGCTGTCACATAGGCTTCCTTGCTAACTCTAAAGAAATCTTCGAGCAGTTGCAGGTGTCCTCGTATCAAGACAGTGATGCACTTTGGGTTGTGTTTTGCCCATGTCAGCATGGCTAAAACTACGGCAACGGACTTGCCCGTGCCTGGTTCAGCATGAATCGAAGAGACTCCCGTGGAGGTTGCATCGGATAGCACACTTGTCACCAAATGCTGAAACTCTGTGCCATTCACGGGGATGAGTGGCAATGAGATGTTGGGCACAACGATGTTTCGGGCTTCCTGTGACGTCTTGGCTCTATCCATCAGTTTCTTTGCAAGGAGTATGGCGTGCTGGTGGGCATCGTTGACATTCTCCAATCGTTTCACCTTTTCAATCGGGCGAAAATTCTTGCTTGCATCCAAAACTTGCTTTCCGATATCCGTCAATGATACCCCTACAGCACTGGCAATTGGGTCCAAATATGTTGCCCAAGTAAGAGGCTCTACTGGCCTTGCAGTCTTGCTTGGACGCCTGTATCTGTCTTGCGTCGTTCGTGGTATCTCAACCAAAGCCAACAAAGACCTGCCAACTAGAATGGACAAAGCCAGCGCAAAGAGCTTGAATCCGCGTTTTGCCATGAAAAGGTTGCAGGTCTGGACAACTATGACGCATGTGTATGACACCAAGGTTGATGCATATAACATCATATATATATAATTGTATATATGCATATTGTTTGTGTATATATATATACATAACCAAAGGATGTGTGTGTTGTTCCATTGCAGATCAAAAGGGGTTTCAAAACTCTGCTCTAAGAAAAAAAACCACGAGCACGGAACAAATCAATCTACACATCCGAGTTTCATAGAGACCTGCAACTTTGAGGAAATCAACCACTGACTCTGGGCAAATCAGCCACCGACTTTTGGAAAATCTGCCACCAATTTTGGGAAAACAGCCACCAACTTGGGGACAACTGGCTCCTCCGTCTTCTTGAAAATCTGGCTCCGCTGAAGGGAAAATCTGCCACCAATTTCTGCAAAATCTCCCACCGACTTTGGAAAAATCTGCCACTGACTTTGCGGAAAATCAGCCATCGACTTTGGGAAAAGCAGCCACCGACTTTGAGGAAATCCGCCACCGATTTTGGAGAAATCTGGCACCGACTTTGGGAACATACTTCACCGATTTTGGGGAAATCTGTCACCGAATTGGGGGAAATCCGTCACTGAATTTGGGGAAATCCGTCACCGATGTTGGGGAAATCCGTCACCGCTTTTGGGAAAAATTGGCTCCGTTTTTTTGGAAAAACATGCTTCGTTTTTGGGACAAACTGGCTTCGTTGTTTAAAAACACGTCTCCGTGTTTGGGAACTGGTTCGGTTTGGGGAAATTGGCTCGGATTTTAGCAGCTTGGGACAAAGCTCAAGTCTCACTGTTTTGAACGCTAAGCAAGTCTGGGTTTTGGAGGTTTTAAGACTCGGTGTCTCTAAAAAGAAGTCAACCGGTGGGAAGTTGGAAGGGTATAATGCTCAAACCTATAAACTTTGATGTCGAACCTGTTTGGGGTTTGTGTTAGGAACTTGTTTGAGATGCCACAAGCACAAACTGATATACATAGCTCCTATTGAGGACAAAAAATGTTAAACAAATATTAACATATATAACTAACTATATATACACACTATGCCTTGTTACTTTGTAAGTAGTGGGGTTGAAATCCTGATAACAAATCAAACCTTTGCTTTTATCTGGAACGGCTTTGGCAACAAAGAACTGACTGACAGCGAAACGTCTTCTTCATCTGAAGAAGGTGATAAAACAGGTTCATTTGTTGAAAAGGCTAGAAATGCTGAATGGAGAAAACAAGATGACGGATATTACAACAGCAAACCGAACGACGAAACGCATTTCCAAAAATATTACCAAGACAAAACGAAACAACCTTGTGTATGTGATATATGCGGCTCTGCCATGAGCTGCAAATCAAACTTGGCAAAGCACAAACAAACGAAGAAGTGCCAAAGGTGCTTGGTTTGAGTTCACTATGATTTTATGATTTTATGATATAATCTAGGTATTTTTAATGTCAAGATTGGAAAAAGAAAGGGTATTGGAAAGAATATACTACGACGTGAATGAGGGCTTCGGTTCAGCGAGAGACCTGTACGAAAAGGATAGGAAAGTCGATGTAGGCGTAACTTTGGATATGGTTGCTACATGGATGAGGGCGCAACCCAACAAGCAAGCACGAAGAACTACAATTCCTACACTGCACCGTTCCCGAAATATGAATACGAGTTTGCTGCGAGACGTAGGTTCTGAAATCAAAAGTCAACTAAGATATGGTTTAATATGCAAGCATAGATATTTTTTAGCAAGAAATCTCACATAGGTCCCCATCTCCATGTCATCTCCGAGTCACGTGATGATGTCGTGCCCGAACTCTGGGTCCGTGCCCAAGTGCTGACTGATGTCTCCCTGGCAGGGTTGGTGACTCCCACGACTGAACATCCTCCAGATTTGGTTCTTCTAGCTTCCAGTTTATGCGATCCCGGAGTAAACAGCTGGATCCCGGAGTATGAGAACCCGGTGTTTGTTCGCCTTCCACTGGCTCTTTATGTGTAACCCAGTGGATCCCAAAGAGCCACAAACCAAGGTTTTGAGGTCGAAGTGGCTTTAGTCGTTGCCTGGAACCACCTGGGACTCCCAGCGACATCGTGATTTGCCTGGATCCTCTTGGCCCCACGGTAAGATATTACTGGATGCCAAAGCAAATATCGCAGGTTTTTGGGGTGGATGTTTGTCAGTGGAAGTGAAAAAGAGCTCCGAGATGCCTCACGCGTCACGACTCACTCGTGTGGTCGTCTATCGTCTTAAGCATGATGACCCTTAAGCATGGTGTAGGGTAGTTCACTCATCTTCACTTTTATGGTCGTGTGCCCGGTGAAGCCTGCTCGGACATCGAATCGATATGAATCGCTTGGGTTTTGACGGGTGCAATACCCTCAGGTAACCACTCTATGGAGTGTTCCCAGCACTGTTGGGAAAACTATATCTTAGTTTGGCAAAGCTTGTCATCGGTTCCACAAATCGAAAGCAAAGGGAATATACTTATGCCACCCAGACATTGGTATTCTTTCCAGCAGTTCCATCATGTTCCATCAATGTTCTACATATCTACCTTCACCTTCTCGCATCTGTGTCCCTTTGACACGGAAGTTCGCTGGTCTAAAAACCGCTCACACCCCTCACGCAAAACATGTCTGTGTCCATGGCCCTTTGGCGTCCCAGGTGCTGTAAATCTCAGGGTGCTTGAGGTCTGTTGGATGTCCACCTGGGTCGCTCGACGGAATCGGACACCGATGAGAAGGACGTCTTTCGACGTATTTGTGGACCGGCGAGGAGGGAGTGAACCATGGCGGATGGGAGTGCTGTGTAGGCTGAGGGGAATGAATAGTTAGAAGAACAAATGAACAAAAGAATGAATACAAAATAGCTACATCATATCAGCTGATACAGTAAACCCAACCCAACCTTCTTACCTAAAAGCTAAGTGGGAGGAGAGGCACCCTCATCCTTCATTCCCACCTGGCACATCCTCCGCTCCGCTTGGTGCTCCGGGCTCGATCCACGAAGATGCCCACGCTGCTGGACGTCATGACCGAGGTCAGGATCGACTCGGAGGTCGTCGCTTGCCTGACCGCATCGCATGCGCTTCGTGACCCGCCCGGGTTCGGAGCGGATCTCTGAGGGACTCTGTGAGGGGGAGCGGAACGGGTTGGTCACGTGGGGCAGGAGGGGTATGCGGCAGGTGCGGCCGGGGTGGGGGAGCCGAGAAGAAGCGCGTTGAGGTTGCGGGGCGCACAGCAGCGATGGAAGGAGAAGTGAGCACAGGCCTTGTTTGAGAGAGAGTCTAGAAGAACAGCTGAGGAACGGCCCCGGCAAGAAATCCAAACATTGATCTTCCCGTCTCAATGGTCAGCAAGTTTGGTGAGGATATTGATCATGAACGATACCCAAACATCCCTCTGAAGGTCCCAGCCGCTCCCAAAGCCACAAGATTGTCTTGCCAGCCGCTCCCAGCCTGCAGCCTTGCCCATTGATGGCGGGGCAGTTGACTTTAAAGCTCGTGTCGCTGGCGGGATCATTCGGATTCTGATCGTCGCCTGCGGCGGAAGCTTGCGGAACCTCTGAAGGAGGCCCGAATGTTGCGGCCTTATGTGAACGTGTTTCGTGTTTCATAGACCATGGCCCTACACCTCGAAGTACCTCCTCAGAAGGTATTTGGACCCTCCAAACCCACCCCAAACACCTTCTCAGAAGGTACTTGGAGGCCTGGGGTTGTGGGAAGGCATCCTACATGTAGCCTTCCAGCCTTCGCCAGACCGAAACCAGTCCAACACACCGGGAGCCAAGCAGTCGAAGCGTCCGAGCATACCCCCAGTCCATCGCGGGCGCACCGGAACACTCGGCGTTGGCAGGGATGATGCGGAGGCGATCGAGAGGGCCTGGCAGCGTTCCAGACTGGGACACTGCATGGGGAAGTAGGCCATGGTGGTCAACACCTTTAGTGGTAAAAGTATGGCGAAGCACAAGCCACGATGATTGACACACTATTGATGGACGAAATCCTACACCACCTCACCACTTCATCTTGAAAGGGTCGCCCCCTCATTCAATGTTGGGGCGACCCCTCTGAGGAGGTGCTGCAGGATTTGAACTTTCAACTTGTTTTAATTGTCTCACTGTGGTGGCCCCAAAGTTAACTAGGGAGAACGAGGGCAGCAAGAAAATGGTGCGCAAAGTGGTGCAGGATTTTGTCCATCAGCATGTCACATGTCAGTGATGTCAGTGATGTCAGCCTGGCGCCTTCTCAAAAGATATCGATCCAAAGGTGTCTGATCCATGTTCTGTTGTAGAGTTGTTTCTGGGTTCAACCTCATGTGGCTGATGTAAAAGGGCAGCACCACTCTAATTGAAACTCTCTGCAAATACAGCACCAGTGGCATACTGCCGGTCCACCAATATCTACTAGCGAACTAGAAGTCTAGGAGTTCCTTGAGTCCAAAAAGGGAGAAGGCAGCAGATGAAACTCTGAGGCCTCTCCATTGGCTGGAAAGCCAGGCATTTTTGCACCCAACCCTTGGACAATCAAGACATGCCGGTTCGTCTGAAGCCCCAACCCTTAAGGTCGAACTTCACCACCTGAGTGGCAGCGCCATGAAAGGCATCAATCCCGGGGCAGCACCATTGGGCCCGGCAGTGTGATCGCTGATTCAAACTAGCGGAACTGAACACTGCCAGTTGGATGACCAGACTGAACACTTGCCTGAACGTGGCTGAACAAGGTTGTGTTTTTCCCCCCGCGAGCACAAATGGGCTCCCAACAGCTCAAAAAAGAAAGGAGCCGCAAATATATGTCCGATCGCGACATTTACTGCTGTGGTTTGGCCCTGTAACTAACCCTCCTGCGAATTCTAGGAACTTTCTCTGGAAATCTGCACTGCTTTGAACATCCTCCGGAAGCCCCACAGCTGAGTTTACATGTAATTCCAAGAAGATGTTGCACACACTAAGATGGATGCCGCGATGCCTTCACCATGGGGCATTCAAGAATACCCAAATCTTGAGGAGGACTCAGTCAAGGCATGGACTCAGTCAACTTCCATCGACAGGTGGAGACCCAGTAAACCGACGGCCAC